CAAGCAGTAGTGACAATTTCAGCTCAGGAATAAAAAAAATGTTTGCTGAGGTAGATGAACTGTGACTTATCTGTTGGTTTAACTTCCAATTTCAGGACAGAAGGCCTGCAATTAATATTCTGACCCTTTCACTCTTTTCAGTTACTTCTGTAAGAGTTAATACAATTAATTCCCTTCTTAAACTGTTAGCAGATTCGAAGGCTTTCTTGGCAACACTGTTACGCAGTGACCACCTAAATAGTAAATGAAAACATGGCTAAAAAAAAGTCAAAGCTTAGCAACATCTGCAGTATATTAAGAAAGGTTTTGGAGCTCTAACATATGACCTAAGTGCCCAGCATCCTTGCAGAATGTCTTTTACTGCAGCCTGGTTTTTCTCTGCTCTTTCTCAGAATTGGCTTAAAGGGCAAGTAGCATCCAATGACCACATTAATTGACCCAATGGAAAGGATATAAGATGCATAAGTGTTTACCATCTCAAATCACTGTTCTGTATGTACATTTTAAATAAAAATGAGTCTAGGCCAATGTCTAGCTTGTTTAATAAATGTTTCTTATGTCACAAAAGTAACTATAATGAAGTTACAGAATTACAGACGTCTGTCTGAAAGGAAAATATATAGCTACAAAATATTCTCTGGTTAAAGTAAATAATTTTTTATGACTGTGTAGCAAGCAATCCTGATAAAATTTTTTCTCTGCTTGCTGTCACTATCAAATGCTGAGCCAAATCAAAGTCCCAGCACTTTGAATTTCGTTCCATAATTTGGACCATTTCCCATAGGCAATACTGAAATTGTCAACACCCAGATGAGTCAAATAATGAAAAAAAAACGCCTCTAAATAATGTTTTGATTCCTGTTATAACTTGCTGTAGAGACCAGATAAACTCGACTGAAATTTTAGTCAGAAAAGTCTTTCCGTAATATGTTCCCAGTCTTCTAAATCCTGCCCAATTTTTTGTCTATCTGTATCTCTACTCATAAATCCTTAGCTACCCAGAAGAATCTCATCTCAATCACAGTTTCAAAGAAAATTATGTGTATGTAGTCTGTATGATATGTCATATTGTTCTATCTATTCACTTCCCATTTGAAAACTTGGTTCATTTTTGCTGCCCACTGGCAATGAGGGATGGATATTATCGTGTCCCTTTTTGAGAAAAATCCTATTCTATGTTATTTCCTACTCAGGAAATAATAACAAAATAAAACAACAAAAAAATCATAAAAAAAAAACAAACAAACTGATGTCAGGCAAAAATAATATTTTCTGTTAATGTACTAAATTCCAGGGGCTGGAAACAAGTGTGTTTAGTGGGTACTGGAGGACACACTGAAGTTAAAGAAAGTTACAATTAAAATTTAAGTAGTCTTTTCTGAGAACCAATAAGATCCACTATGTATTCTGTGGTATATATCTTAGCTCCTTATATGGGGACTGGTTTAGATAGAATATAACCAAGCTTATTGACTATAACCAAGATTATTGACTGCTCAGTATTACCTGAGAGAGACATTAACATTCACCTAGATTGCAGTGTCTGCTGTTGTTAGCCTGTTCCTTAGCACCCAAAATCCTTCCCTGGGGCTAGCCAAAGCAAAACTTTCCTAAGCTGCTTAGTCCTGCAGTCCATGTTACTCCATGTGCCTCGTGCATACTAGTTTTTGTTCAGGTGTCTTAGGAGCTTTTCTTGGAAACGAGTGATGGGGAAGTAGTGAATATGAATTCTCAGAAGAACTTTGGTAGACTGCCAGTGCTTCAACATCTTTTTTTTTCTTTTTTAAATAATAGAAATAATTAATAATGGCTTCATTGTTATTGTTTGATTGCAAAGTGAAAGTATAATCTAGATTCTAAGCTCCATCTCCCCAGGACTAGACTAAAGGGAATACTTTCACCATCAACACAGTGAAAATCTCTCAGCACCAACTTAATTTGGTTAAGAAAAGAGGATAGAAACATGAATAGGGTTGATTTCCTTAAGCAGTTTAACACACTGCTGATCATAGAAGTTTTAGGGAAAGAAGAAAAAGCCAACCAATATTCAAATAGGCAGCAAATTCGCCTTTGTGGAATGAGATTTTCTTTGTATAGCACTGAGGAATAATTCCATCCATAAAATATATACAAGAGACATGAGACTACAAGGGACCTCCTGAATCTTTGAATCCAGACCTTGCTATTGTATGACTACATTAGTAAAAATGATGTTAATAATGTAATTTCTGTATATTCTGCATGGATCAATGAAATTTTCATTTTAAAATTATCATTGCCCTAGCTGTTCTCTCTTCCAGGATCCAGCCTTACTGAAGGTTAGCTGCAGTCTTATAATTACAGATACTTATACACTTTATCAGACTGAGATTAAAAAACAAATGACAGCAGTGACTATGGCACAAAGTAACTATTATGTCCTTTAGGAAGGAAGTTTACATTAGAGAAGGCAGTGCAATCTTCAGACATTCCTGCCAGTGTTTTGGGTAAAAACATTTTCATTGGAAAATAGAAATGAAAAAAAAAAAAAAAAAAATAGGATTGGGATTTGTTTACTTTGGGTTTGTTTGTTTTTTTGGGTTTTGTTTTGTTTTGTTTTCTGATAAGTTCCAAAACTATAGGTTATATTTTACAAAAAACCTAAGTAAAACTAGCCAGAAAGGTCTGGGACTAAGCAGATAAAAAGACCATTCCAGGTGGAAAAGAGCTCAAGAGTCATTGCTTCCCAGAGTCCAGAATTTTCTGTGAAAATTAGGTTATATTAGTGTTGTCTTGAAAAGGAGGTGAGGCAGAGTTAAGACAGCAGTTTAACTATGTTTGACAGGCTAAATGGAATACATTTCCTAGCTCCAAATCACTGAGCAGTGCTCTTGTAATGGGTGTTTTGCTCCAAGCATAATGAGGGAAAATTATTTCATTTGTCCAGACTGTAATCAATCACTTCCAGGAAAAGAAATCTTTCATGATTTTCCAGTAGCCATAGGAATTGTTAAACATATTAGTTAGTTGTAGAAACTACCTTGTGAAAGAAGAATAAGTCATGAGAAATGAGTAAGATGCACAAAATTACCCTGTAATTTTATGACCATTCGTAGTCTTTCTGGTGTTTGTGCCTAGATGCATGCTTTTTTCCTTAACTGTCTCTGAACTGCCAATAACTATAAATTCATGCAAGCCATAGAAAGGATGAAGAAGTCTCAAAAGAAAAGGGATTTTTCGTCTGGCAGCGTGTTCACCCCAAAAGTCGTAAAAGTCTTTCCTGAAACTTAGGATTGCAAAAGCTTACTGAGTCTTGCCAGATTTCTTGCTTCTGATGGAAATTCCCTAATGATTCATGTGGTTTCTGGATAGCAATATAAACAAAAGGTTATGGTAATCAAATGTTTAAAAAGATGATTAAAAAAAAAATACTCTGCACAGCTATAATATCCAAGAACTTGAATATCTAAATGTGTGTTCTCTCATCTAGTAATGAGAATATTATCACTCACAAATTTATAGAGCACGTAAGCTGAATCACAGGAGGGCGAGTCTTGTCCCAGTGAAGTTTATGCTAAAACGCCTGGAGAGTCTCCCTGGTGTACAGGATGCAAGACTGAACAGGGGTAATTAGGATTTCATTGTGCTTGCCTTTGTGTGCTTAAAAGTGTGAAGAAATTATCCTTTGTTTATTTTTACATGCCTGCTGTACGCTCTGAAAAGCTTTTTATTTAGGGAGTTTAAGAAAACAGATTCAGTTCTGCTACCTTTCCTGGACTCTCTGAAGGCTTGGACATTGGGGAGGAAAGAAAGGAGTCTGAAATAATCTTCTGGATTCAAAAGAAATGGTCCATGAAGCTAGCAGAGAGGAAGTTAGAGAGAACACTAATTATGAGCATCCAGTAGTCATTTGACATCTAGGAATTTCCTACAGGCAGTGTTGTGTCCAAATGCAGAACTCTGACATTTTGCAAAGATTCCCTGGAAGGCCTGCCTTCCCAGTAACAAATTAATATCAGGTAAACGTTTACTGAAGCTGCAATGGATAGAGTTTCAGCTGAGGACGTGCCTACAGGTTGCTCTCCTGCCAGAAATCAGGAAGGTTGTCTGTTTTTTATCATTCTTCTTTCAATGCCACCTGAGTCAGTCTGTTAAATTGGAAAAGATTGGGTTCATTAAAATAATAAGCTTATTCAGAAGGAGATAACAGTAATGCATAGGTTTAGATACTGTGGTTGGGCTAGATGATCTTAGTGGTCTTTCCAGCCTTAACAATTGTATGATCCTATAGCTACACATCAACTTTATGGACATAATTCTTCAGTTTTAATTGGGCATTTTAATTTCACTTAAAAAAAATAAGCAGACTAAATTCTTTCAATCCAATTTAATTCCCATCCCTGTTTCCAGCTTCACTTTATGTTCCTTGTAACAAAAAGGCTTTTAACGTTGATAAATGGCTGCAAAGATTTTGCTTTTACTTTGTTGCTTTTCTGTTTATTTAACCAAGAGCAGTTCTTTTAGTCCTGACCTCAGTCTTGTCAAAAAGACTGTGTTTGTCAAACTGCTCATGCTCCCATTAACTCCTAGCTTTTTCAATTGTCATGTTTGATGAATGGCTCAAATACTGCTAGCATCATTAAAAGCAGGGACACCGAGTCCAAATACACACCATAAATAGGAAAATTTCAAGCAAAGAAAACCTTTTATTGCATAAAGGAAATTGCAAGCGATTTAAAAGTAATCTCTTTTAATGCTATCTTTCATATGTGCAGGAGACAAGAAGAAAACCCTCACATTTTATGTTTGGTATTATCTCTTTATAGCTAGAGAACACTAGTAGCTTTATAACCATATTTACACAGGGGTGTCTGGGACTGTGTGTAGGAATGGTCCCGCTTTGTGTGACTAAAAGTCTCAGAGCCATCCCCACACTGCTTTGTCATTCCAAAAGGTCTGCATCTTCCCAGTGCGGAGCGTGAAGTCGTGCAGCACGGTGCTTACATGCTATTTTCTTCCAGACTGACAGTGGCTCCAGGGTGTGCGGTGCTGCGTGTTCTGGCTCAGTCCCAGCGATGCCCTTAACTCTACCACGTGAGTAGGAACCACCGCTGAGCTTCCCCTAATGACCTGCCGGTAACAGCGGTGCAAGCTCAGGCTTGCCAGAATTTGGCAGAGTGTAGTTCTCCAGTTACGCTCAAGCTAACATTTCAGTTTATATTGTCTGGTGCCCTTGTCTGCCCTTTGTCGTACTTACAGCACAGGCTATCAAGAGACAGAGTTCAGGATTAGTGCTGGAAAGTTGGGTAATGGCTTCAGCAGAAAGAAGAAAAGTTGTTGTTGTTGTTGTTGGGGTGTTGTTTGGATGCTGTTAAAGTCTAGCTAAAGGCCAAGGAACTTCTGGTGATTTTTACATTCCTGAGCCAGATAAGTTTATTCAGATCAATATCTATACAGATACAATTAAATTTACAGTTTATAAATCAATAAAAGTGATAGGCTTCTAGGCTGGCGACATTTCTATAATATTCAGATTCTAGTCAGAGTTACTGTTACTTTTTTATGATTTTGTTTAAAAAAGCATTGTTCCAAACTGCTATATCTATAGGTGCATAGAGACACAGCTTGAGTCTAATATTGCTGAGTGCTGCTCATGTGGAATTTTCATCATGATATAAATAAATACACTGCTACAGTGTATTTTTCCTGGACAGTGATAGAAGCCATTACAATGAGGACAGCAAGCAAATCATTAAAGCAATTCTGAAATGGCATTAGAAGTAGGTCATCAACGTTTATACTTTCCTGAGCTACTGTAGATCACAGGGCTCTTTTTTCCTCTGCAGAAGATAAGGAGGGATTTATTGATCTCAATGTTTTAGAAAATGAGGAGAAAACAAAGAAACTCCTGGTTGTATCAGAAACTTTAGCATTACCAACGTTTTGCTTTCAGTAAATGTAACCCTCTGCTTGTTGACTGAGTGCAAGCAATGGTAGAAGTTGTCTCTCTGCTATTGTTTGTAACTCAGACTTTTGTCAGAAGGACCGTGCAGGATATCAGACACTGACCTTGAGGCATCGTTACCTTGTTACTGATTTGCTGCATAGCCCAATCATAAATTTAAAGCTAAAGTGAGAAGGATTAGTAGTTCATGGATTCATTTGAGTCCCTCTTCTCTTTCTCAGATGCCATATGCAACAAAGTGCAGAGATGGACTATAGGCTTCCAGCGAGTTACCACTGCCAAGGAGGATGCAAAGACAGGCAGTTTCCTGGGTGAGTAGTGCTTTTCTTTGTCTGGCTCTTGCTGGATTTGATTCCTAAGGTTTGTATGTTTTTTGATTGCAGTCACCTGGTCATCAACTATGGAAACTTACTTAACACTTTTCACCCATATAAACCATGAAAATATATTACTTTATTTTATCAGTAATGTTTGTTTCTGCCCTGAGGTGCCCCAGGTAACTAATGTTTGTCACCTAGGCCCCTAAATATACGTTTGGTATATTAAGTATTATATATATTTATAATCAGTAGAGTTCGTCACAATTCTTTCATTATTCACAGAGAGATATGAACAAAATACTTTTGTTAGAACAAATACTTTTCTTCAGCCTTGACTGTATTCTTGTTTCTGTCTGTGCCAGGATTACACATGAATCAAAACAAAGTAGATATGCTGCAGTGATTCCCTGCTGAGACTTCCTGCATTTTTAATCATTATTTGTTGGTGTTACTGTATTTCTGTAACCCTCAGGAGTAGTGAAGCCTACAGAGTATGAATTCATTTGGTTAATAACATTCAAACTAGATCTATAGGAATTGGCTCTGGACTCAGTACTGACTTCTGCAGGACAGGCTTAAAACTGTCAGGGTAGCTACACCTCTGAATTAAACAGAAGTTTGTACAAAGCATATGTCAGTACTGAGCCTCCAACCCACGCATGCTCTCCCACTGAGGTCAGTGAGACTAGTGGTTAGGAGAAGATAGATGTGGAGGTCTGTAGGCTCAGTTAGTCTCTAATGAAATGGATCCAAAGCTGGAAAAGTGGGATTGAAGATGACAGTATCTACTCAATTGTAAGATCAGTAAAATTGAGAATTTGGCTCATAGTTCACTAAAAAGGCAAAACATAAGAAAAATCTTGTCTTCTCTGCCCCCTCATTCAACATATAAAACAATACTGTCAGAAGTTTTGAAGGGAGCCCTGCAGACTTTTCCTGGAAAGCATCATTGGCAGAAAAAGAATTTTCAGCAGAACTCAACAAAGGAGGGAAAAAAAAACAGTATAAATCAGCTAGCAACTTGACCCATGGGCAGCCAAACCAAAGCAGCTTCATTTCCTATGGATTTCTGTATCCTCAGCCTTGTCATCTGCTTTCCAGCCCTCCGCCACCACCAGCCCTGCTGGTCTTTCAGGATCTGGCAAAAAGGGCCACCTGCATGGCCAGGCCAGCACTGCAGGCCTTGTCATGGGCCAGAGAGAGCTGCCAGCGTGTCTTGGCCACGGCTGCAGGGCCAGCCTGTTTTCCTTTCCCTGGAGCACGATATTTGGCTCTTTTGATGTCCCTGGTTTGCACAGGGTTTATAAGGGTCTGCAGGTCATGAAGACATCTCTGTCCTTCTGTGAGATTTAGTTAAAACTGAGGGGAAAGAGCAAGCAAATGATAGACAAACATTTGCAGAACACAGTGCTGTTGTAACCTCATTTCCCTGAGGAACTATATACTTTTGTGAGCAGTTGGTATTTTTAGAGATTAGATATTTCAGTTATTTTTAAAAACAAGCAAAAAGATGCTTAGAACTAATGCCAGAGAGATGGCACCATGAGTTCTCTGGGGAAATAGCCACAGAGCCATTCCAGATGGTCATATCACACAAAATATACATCCCAACACTACTGGCTATACCCCATGGGTTAGGTAGGCTGCATACAAGATGCTGAGGCCCAAAAGCCCAGGATCCCTGCAGCAAGCAAGCCTGCCTGCCATGTGCAGCCATCCCCAGGACTGCCACCTCTGTGCCACCGGGGCCAACGTGTTCAAACAGAGAATTTGAAACCAAAGAGGTGAGTCCAAAATAAAATAAGTCAGCAGCTTCTCCCTGGGAATGGCACTGCTGGTGTTGGCGAACATCACTAGGTCACTCCATCATTTCTGAGCCGGGGATTTCTGTTTAATAATATATGGCAGATTACTTCTATAATGAGCTATTAAAATTCTAAGATTAACTCAACTGCTGCTATGATATCTTCAATGTCCTGCAGCATACTTGGCAGAGCAAGCACATGCTTTTTGTTTTCTTTACTCTGGTTTGCTTGCTTGCTTTTCACTTTGGTTTTCCCAACAGTGTTTGCCTTGTGCTGGTCCCACCCAGAAAGAAATGTTGGGCTGGGAAGTAAATGAGGCACAATGATAGTGTCAACATAGAGAGGGTTTTATATCCGTGGTTTGTAAGAAAGAAATTAAGAAATTGTGTCCTTTGAAAATTTCTAGCTTTCATTAAACAAAATACAAATGAAATGTTTGTATTTTTATTCCAATCCAATAACCTAGGAGTAGCTTGTTTTGCTCAGTTCTGAAATTCATAAAGACATGCCTGAAAAGACTGATTTTTGCTAACATTAAAATATTAAATCAGCATCAGAATTTCCATTTGGGCTCATAGGCAATAATATATGTGTTTCTTGTTCTGTGTTTTACTTTTGCCTCATGTGCATCACGTGAGAGCCTTACTTTTTCAACAAATGAATCTTTAGTATTGTGTAGTTTGGACAAATTTAACCAATGGATTATGCATGTGAGTAGTCCTTGCTGGTTAGACCAAGGTTCTTGGTATTTCTCTTTTAATTTTTCCCTAGTCAACGTACATATCTCTCAAAGCTTGAATCCTTTGGAAAGGATTAAAAGTAGCTTAATAATTTTTTAGTATTTTAGAAATGTTAACTTGGACCTAAGTGTTGTTCTTCTCTTTCTTTTGAAGAAACTAAGAGAAATATTTCTAGCAGTGGTTAAGATATTGCAATTGTCAAACAGTGTCTAGAATCCATAGCAATGAGTAGTCAATGCAGATGATGAATGAAATTTTTAGCCAAGGTGTGTGGTCCTCTCAATAGTCAGCAAAGCTGGAGTTCCCTCATGTTGTATCTCAGAGCTGTAAAACATGATCTTGTCTGACTGCTGTGCCTGTAGCACAGCACTACTTTCTTCTTGTCTTCTTCATCATTGTCCCTCTGACTATCTGAATTTTCAGCCCACTCAGCTTGATTGAGCATCTTTGGAGTGAGTTTCTTCTAAGATACTTGCAACTTACTCCTTTTGCTTGAGCATCCTAGAAATGTTGGGAACTTCTTGACTTTAGGAGATATAAAATCTACTGTAATCTTGTAAGCCATACTTTTAAAGGTGAATAATCAACTGCTTGTGGGAATGCTTCAGTTGACTTAGCTGTGATTCTGTGTTGCTGTTGTTTTGTTTCACTATTTCTAAATGCCCTATTATGGATCAGCTCCTACATACTATTTAGAGGCATACTCCGAACTAGAGTTTTATTCAGACCTAAGCATAGTTTTCATGAGTTTCACTGATAATCAAATCATTGCTTATTGTGAGAGAACCTAGCTATCCCACAAAAGCCAAGGTTGTCCAGTTGTTGTAGTCTGCCCCATAACTGTCCTAAAAAGTTGAATATGACAGAGTTGGGAATCACCGTGCCTGAGTTGCACTCCAACGACATTGGATTCTGAACCATCAGAGATATTTGTTTTTCCCCAAACACAAGCACCCTTCTGACCTTGCTAATTTTCTGATGGAAACTAAAAATCTTTTTGTTATAATCAGAGTCAAGTATCAGTTCCAGAAAGCCATTACTATGCATTATAGGCACTTAGGCACATTAGAAAACAAAACAAAACAAGCTATCTACCACTTTGCAGGATTAATGCTATGAAACATTTTATGGGTGGTCCTTAAGAGGACAGAATGCTGCACTAATGTGTGACTGCATGGCAATTAAGCTTAATTAGGGAAGGTTTTGAAAAAGACAGATGAAAGTAAATTATGGGAATGAAAGCAACTGTGCTTTTGGGGACCACGCTCTGTTACATTAGTTCAGTGAAGCGTTGCTAGTATTGTCCCCCGTCTATCACACTTTGACACGCATCCAGAAGTTTGTCAAATCAAGCATTTTTTTCTAGAAGAAGAAATCTCTTCGGAGCACATTCTTCACCTGGTCTCTGCTGAACCCACGGGTTTCTTCAGGAGACGGCATCGCTTCCATAGTAAGAGGAATAGCTGACCCTTAATGTGACCATTCAGTTTAGTCTAGCATTGTCTCTTTTCTACATGGAGTAACAGAAATAATGATGTATGTGGATTTTGATTTTCTTATGTGTGCTGGAAGAAATTTTTCATAATTTTCTATTTTTAATGCTTCCTTAGACTCACAACTGAGCACTCAGAGCATCTGATTCTGGTTTTCCCCATTGACAAGACCCTGGTAAGCAGGCTTGGAGCAGCTCTCAAGCTTTATTCTGCATGGTTTGAGAGCATATCATCAAACAGGCTCTTTCAGAGCGGAGGATTTCTGTTCTTGGAAAAAGGCTGTTCTAAAACTAGGTGCCCATTCCCTCTCCTACAGAATTTTAAGAGAAACGAAGTTTAGCATACTGAAATCCTAAATGAAACTGAATTATTTTTCTCTGCCTTGGACTAAATGGTTGTCACTACGGACACTGTTATAGTTTGTAGTGTTACATTGGATTTTATTAAATTATGGAAAATAATTAAGTTGAAAAGCAGGAAACAAAGGCTATGCAGTCAGATCCTTTTTTAGCTCAAGTAGTGTCTGGTGTTGTTTTCTACCAGGACAGTGGGATGCTTTTTTCCCTAATGAACTTTTCATGTCCAAGATGAAATGCAGATTCTGTGGACAATTTATTAAGAAAAGCACCAGTTTCATGTGAGTTTTCAGTTTTCAGACCAACAGGGAATTTATATATGGAAATCATATATGAGTAGAGGGAAACACCTCATAAAAAGAACGACTACATGGTCAGCAGCTGTAATTTATGTGCATTCTTTTTTAATAAAAAAATGTGTGTTCAGACCAATCTTTTTCATTTTTATAGCAGCTCAACATGATAGTTTCAACTGCAGTTGTTTAACCTTCTGACTTTCTTTGTTTTGTTTTGAAAAAAAAGGAAAACTAAAACTAGCACTTTTTGTTTCAGATACTGAGCTTATTCTTGTGTGGAAAGTGCAGTAAAGACACCTTTCTACACTGAAGGAAGCTAAAGTGAGTGTCGATGGAAATACTGCTGATAAAAGTGTGTATTAAAAATGAAAATAGACAAGAGGATGTTAAGTACAAAAAAGAAGTTACTTCGATTTGATGGCTGAGCACAAATAGCTGCTTACAGGTAATCCACATACACCTCCATTTACCTTAACTCTGTATGTTAGATACATATTTACCTGCATGTATACAGATACAAAATGTGGAAGGTACAATTAAAAAATCAATTTCTTGCAAGGATGCTGCAGGCAAACCTCTACATGGGAGCTCTTAGCACACAAAGTTCTATTTATAGAACCACAGAATGTCTTTCTGGAGACAGATCCCCTTAGCAGGGGAATGTTACTCAAATCCCATGTTTTCCTCCACATCTGCAACTGGGAAGTGAAGGATCAGTCTTAAGAGTTTCTGGTATGTGAGGTAATACTTCGTAACAGAATACTTTCAGGGCAGCTGGCACAATCTTCTTGGTAGGGTTGTTACAAGCCCTCCATAGACTCATTCTTTCATGGAGATTATGAGATATTGGGAAAACCTGATGTAGTTAGGCAGTAGTAGGTGAAGAAGCCATTTTCCTGCTAGAAGCCTAAAACCAGTGTTTATTACTTCCTGCTAGGTCACAGAAACTTCACTCATCTGTCATTTTGACAATAGCCACTCTCTTTTAATCTTCTTCATATTCATGAACTGTTCTGCCCTACACTTTTTTTACACATCCTATAAATGCTTCATTCCAAAATGTTTCCCAAGGCCTGTAGTGTTGCTGCAGGCATCTTCTACAGCAACTCAGGCTCCAAAAGTCCCTGGAACAGGCTCAGGAGGGAATTCTCTGAGATGAATGAATAAGACTGGGCAAAGACTGTCATTCAGCTTTTTCTCAGTTACTGTCATGGAAAAATCACTTGGATTGATGCTGGATTCCTGCACAGAAACCTACAGAAAATAGGGATTTGGCCTTCTGTGATTTGAATAATTTCTAAATTTTGTTGTATGCCAAAATGCTGCAATGTTATTTGTTGGAAGAGCCACAAAAAAGCAGTTTCTTTACAGCTCATAGAGACCTGCAGTAGTTGCAGCAACTCTCTCTACTTTCCCCTTGCACCAGAGAAATTGAGGCTTGCATAGAGACCTGCTGACAAAATAACGTGGAGCAAACAAGCCCATTATTCCCAGATTTCTAGGCGTTTTTCAGACTGTATGTACCACATTTCTGCAAGGGATATTTAATATGTACAGGTGAAGAAACTCAGGCTTGCTGGTTTCCTTGGATTCCTTTCTAACCTGCTCTCGTTTTTCTTTTTCCCACCTCCTCCCCTCTTTTGCGGCTTCCTGGCGTAAGTGCCCACAGCAAACCACTGTTCAGGATCCAGGAGCTGTACTCCATGGCAAGCCTAGTGCTAACCTCAGTGACAGCTGCCCAAATGCCATGATCACACGTTCCCCGCACCCTGCCTTGCCAGCAGGGGTAGGAAACTCCAGTTTATGTTAATAAGGTGTGGAGGGTAGCCAAAATATTTTCTGAGTTTTCCGGCTTGAAAGGGTAATGAAGCTACCTCTGTCTCAGTAAGCTGGCATAGATGCAAGCTAAACAACTGGAAAATGTGTTTTCAGTGAAAAATACAGTGCACAAACTCCGCAGGTTTAGAACTTCCACTGTAGGTTGAGTTTTTTCATCTTTCCACTTTTTTTCCAGCACAGCTACTCCCCTTCACACACCAAGAGCAATGTGGGGGGAGCAAACTGTTTCTGTAGATTAGTTTCACGCAGTTATTGCCAGTGTGAGTGTTGAACTCAGAAACATTTCTTATTTTATAGTAAAATAATGAATTGCTTAATATGAAGGGTAAACCCAAAAACTTATTTCCATAAATTTTGTCCAAAATCTACATATTTATTAGCAAAAGAAACCTCCACACTACTGTAAGCATGGTGAAATTCTTTAGGTTTGATTCAAAAAGCTTGCTCTTTTTGTCATTCCTCTCTGACCTCCTCCCTGTTAGTCCTGGGATGAAAGGCAAGCCAAAGATCTGCTGAGAAATGGGCCAAGCCACTGCTGACCTTTGCAAATCCAGTGCCTTCAAAGCGAGAGCTAATCGACATGTTCCCACGCTGTGTGTTGCTGAAACATACGATGCAATTCAAGGAATGAATTCACCATGGTGCAATCTCATTTTGAATCCAGTTTTCTTGCTATGTGTCAGAGGGTGAAGGAGGCAGAGTGCAGCACAGATTATAAACAGCAATCACACATGATAAGTTTCACAAACCTTGTAAGTCTGTCTTTGAAATCTTTCCTATTTTGGAGGGGTTCTTCACCTTAAAATTTAAAATGCATCAGCCCCTCCTTTTGTTCTTCTACCGCTCAGAAACAGAGAGCCATTTTGTCGTGATTTAAAGAAAGATAAGCCAGTGGCTAGTCAGGCTGAGAGTTTGTGATGATTGATCTCCAGCTGGAAAGAAGTAGTTCTAGAGTTTATGAGCTGACAAGTAACAAAAGTCTGGGGAGATGTTTGTGCACTAACAGGTGCTATAGGTGAATAGCACAGTGATGCAGGAAGAGCTTTGGAATTTGTATTTTAAATTCATCTCCTCTCTCCCACTTTGCATGTTCAGATTTGGTGTGAATGCTATTGCTGTTCCACAGCAGTGTGACCAGGTCCCCCTGTGGAAAATGTTTTACCAGTTCCACCAGGTATCTCAGGTGTATGTGCAGTTTCTGTACAGGAAAGCGTATTGGTGCTCCTCACCTAAATCTTACAGTCTCTTTTTCTACAGGTGTGTGCAGAGCAGCGGAGTCTCTCTCTGTCACAGGAGGTGAAGTTGATTATGTCCCTTGCAGTCCTTGCATGACTTGAGGGCCTGGGTAACGTGGTGCACCTACCCTGGGTACGGCACTGCACTGCAGCCTGTTTACGTGCCACAAGTGGTGCCTGTTAGCATAAAGTCGCTTTTTGTCCGGGGCAAAAGTGAGAGGACTCATTCCTTATTTAGCCACTGTAGGGCAAATGTCATAAGTAGTACATCTCTCATTTTGTCTGTGCCTAAGGGAAGAGTTCTGTTATTCCCAGTGCGTGGCTCAGTGTCCCTCTCCTGGCAGAAAGTCACCTCTCAGGCTGGGAAGACATGGCAAGGCATGGCAGCCAGAAGACAAGCTGGTCTGCATTTGACACCTTACCACAGACCTCCTGGTGTACGGTTTATCCAGCTGTTTTGGTCATGCAGTGGCACCCGGAGATATTATGACCAATTTATTTCATTATCGTCTTTATTGCACAAATGCAATTCCATTAGAGCTGATGTAATGGAGAATCAGGCCCCCAGGCCAATGGGCTAAATTGTACCCTGGCTGTGTAAGCTGAACTTTCAAATGAAGCCTCAATGCTCTCATTTTCAAGTTGTCCTTAGCAAAGCAAATGAAAATATATCATTGTTCTCAAGGCTGCTGAATGAAGCAAGTCCTTCTTTTTTTATTTCCATAACCATGAATAGTAATTTCATCTATTCATGACTAGCTTATAAAAGAGTTTGCTAACTAACCAGATTTGGTGAACTTTCTCATCAAGTGTTTCAATAAGATAATTGTTTGTATTTTTATTAATCTCTCAATATTTTTGTTATTTTCTGTCTCATGATTAGATTTTTCAGTCTTCTGGACATCAAAGATTTTGGAGAAGAGATTGTATAAACTGGATAGGTAACAGCTGTTACGGATGGATTTAACGGTGGGAAGGGGAGAAGGCAAATATAAGTGCTTCCTCCCACTGCTGGCACCTTTCACTGTGGCACTTTATTCTAGTCCTGTGGCAGAGATTATCTTTGCACAGAGGAAGCCCTTATTCATGTGATTACATCTACCTTTCAGTTTTGCTGGTGTTTATAAGTCAGTAACGAATGCCTTCGTGATAGCTCTTGGGCTTGGCCTTCCAGTAATTTTTTTAAAAAGAAAAGAATGGGAGAGTAGCTCTAACTTTGTTAGTTAAAAGCATTGATAGATTTTAATTTCTGACTTTTTAAAGTCACACCAACATCAAGCTTCATCTTACTATACATCATTCAAAATGCAAAGCATAAATAGTTAACACCTGTAACAGGTGCCTTATACAGTGAATTCCACAGAAAGAGATGCATAGACTGAAGTGGAGTTTCACCTTAAATAAATGGCATTTTCTCTGCTGCTCCCTCCCATTTACCTTGGGACTAAACATTTGTGTGAATCCTCTTTTGTTCCTCAGCTGGAGTAAAATTCCATGTGTTCTTCCTTAGCTTACCTACTATTTAGGAAAGATCTTGGAGAGGAATGGTGATTTGTGGTATTGCAAAGTACTAACTGATACAAACAGGCTGTGTGTCTAATAATGTTATTCCAGCAAACCACATGCCAAGAAAAAAACAAAAAAAAAACTGATCCCGTTTAGATATAAGTAAAAAGCTTTAGACATTTGACCTGATTCAAAAAAGTTGCACTATGTCTTATTCTCCTCTTCCTTCTTCCTCTTGTTATTTTACGCGTTTTTGTTTTCTTATTTGCATGTTGTGGTTTTAAATAACTATCTTCACATTCTTAAAACTTCCAGAAAAAAGCCAGCATATGCAGTACATATATTGCCTACGAAAGGTTCCCTATGACCTATGAATATTGTAAGATACTCAGTTTGATTAAAGATTGAACAGCTTATTCTGAATACTGTCTCTAAGCAAGTGGAAGATGGGAAGGTTATCAATCAAGAGTAGTCATGTATTCACCAGAGGGAAATCATGATTGATCAAGCTGGTAGCCTTCTATGATCTCATGACTGACTGAGTGGACGGGGAGAGTAGCAGATGTCGTGTACCTTGACTTTAGCAAAGCTTCTGACGCTGTTTCCCATAACACACATGTAGGTAAGCTCAGGAAGTGTGAGAGACAAGTGAACGGTGAGGTGGATTGAGAACTGGCTGACTGGCAGAGCTCGGATAGTTATGATCAGTGACACAAAGTCCAGCTGGAGGCATGTGGCTAGCGGTGTTCCCCAGGGGTAAGTACTGGATGAAGGGATAGAATGCATCCTCAGCAAGTTTGCTGATGATACAAAGCTGGGAAGAGTGACTGACATCTCATCTGGGAGGGTGACTGCATCTCATCTGGGAGGGTATCATGGAGCTGTTATCCTGCATAAATGGTAGCTGGGCTGCTGTTGGACAGTGAACTGTCAGAGAAGAACAGAACAGAAGTCGTGTCCAAAAGCACATCCCTACTGTGATTTTGTTTGGTTTTCATTATGCTCTAGGCCTTCATTAATTTAAAACTTTTTTTCTTTTGTCTTCTCTCACTCACTGACTACTGCTTAATATATTTAAAGCAAATGCCTCCAAAAGACAGTCTTTTTAAAAGTGCTACAGAGCTTTTGTGCAAAGCTCAGATATTTTTTTCTGCATGACCTGTGGAGAAATAAGAACAGCTCTGTCCGTTTTGAGGTGAAATTCTCCAACTTTAGTAAAGATTTAGACTGCAACAAAGGTCAAATTGCAAAGGCAAAATCATAGAGAAAGTTCATGAGCTAGGTGGACAGTTTGCAACAAGGAGAGTAAGCCCCATCCATCCTCTGGTAATGGCAATTTGCCACTCAGCTGGTACTATAAACATAACAAAGAGTTTTGTCACAAAGAAGAAGTCTGAAAAGGTGTCAGTCTGCAAAAAGGAGCTGGCAGGTTTTTTGATGCAGAAACAATCCTGCTATGGTAATTGTTTTCCCTTTTGTTCATTTTCTCTCATTACAGTCCAGAGCAAAATCATTTCAGTAGCTTTCAAAGCTGGAAGCTAACCAGGTTGTCAAAATGGGCTCCAGCTCACTCAGGGATGGCAAGAAACATACTTTTCTTCTTTATTATGTTGTTGAAAGATATGTGTTGCTTTCCAGTTTATTAAAAATTTTGAGAGAAGTTAGCTAATTGAGGAAGATCCTTATTTTCTATTTGAAGAGAATGAGTTTGCTGTGTACAAATAAAATTAAGGAGAAAAAGAGAGGTGTGACTAAAAACGAAAAGGATGGTGAAATCTAAATTATAGTCTACGTGCCATACACAGTCCTTTCACTGAGGACACGCTGGTGGATGTCTCCTTTGCAGCCTATATATGCTGAAAAATCACTCATGCTAGTAGGAATCCTGGGTAACCTGAGATAACTACCGGAGAATTAGGCACACTGAGCATTTGTACCTTGACAGAGGTCAGTGTAAATCATAAGTCTTTGATGATATGTTGTATGTGATGCTTTCTTGCATCCAGAAGAGGAAGTCTTGATATTCCTACAAAGCAGCAGGAGCTTGTGCATCTGATAGTACTAAATGATTTCCGAGGTACAAAACCGATAATTCAGGTGCAGTATTACACAGATTGCTATAAGTTTTAGGGTGAGCTGTGTGGTTTGGGCTCAGACTCGCACAGGTTGTGTATGCCAAGTTAAAGCTACAGGAACTTCAGACCATAAACTGTTTGCATGGGGTCTATACATCTATGTTATCAGCGTGCTATTGATAGAAATCACAATTGTTATTTTTTCAACTTTCTTACTATATTTTTGGAACTCTGTAGTGACAGCAATGAAAAAAAAAACCAGATTGGCTGAGTGTTGGCTGCAAAGGAACACTTATTTAAGTTGAATTTAAAATATCATATGATCGACAATCATCTGAAGCAGTACAGAAACTGTGAAGGTTAGTGTCTATAGCTAATAAAGTACAGCTCTATGGCTCTGCAAGTCCACTGTGAACACATAATGACATTTTTCTTCTAACAATTACATCTGCATAAAGTGTATCAGACTGTGGTTTGCCGATTAAGTTTAAAGTACGGACAAATTAAAGTACAGTAACTTTGAAAGCATGAATTGATCTAACCAGGACTGTATTATTTACAGGAAAATGAACTGAGATTACTGACAACTCACTGCACAGGAACAGCATTTGCTGTAATAGAAAAGTGTATACCATGGATTAAAACTCAATCATTTTTGTAGTGGCCTGTTTCTCATTTTACATGCCCGCCACTTTGATCCATACTATAATGTAGGTACATACAATCCTGGGAAATTTGCTGCCCAAACTAAAGATGAAATAATTTAATCAGAGGTATTTTCACAGGGATTTTTCAAACTATTTTAATTATGCTTCATTGTTTACAGCCTATATCATTCTGTGAATATTACATCTAGAGGCAATTTAAGAATACAACCTACTTGTAAGCTCAGGTGTTTGAAAAGTTTGAAAGCAAACAAGAAATTGGTTAGTTGTTATAATTTATAGTGCCAGAATAATTAATCTTTGAATGTATTCTTCTTCTGTGTTTATTTTTGCCATTCCTCTACTAGTAAATATATTTTCAAGTACTTTAAGAATAAATGATAGCATTATGGTGGTTTTTGACAGATTTTGAGCTCTGCTATGTTTCTATAATGTCACAGAATATCCAAGGGCTTGAGAGGTGTTATTCCAGATTTACGGTTGTGTAATTCAGACTGAATGTTATCCATTTACATCTGCATTTAAAGATGATGCTATAGTCATCCAGATCCCTAAAGTGGTGATCCAGTCCAGTTCTTCAGTAGTGTTTTAATTGTTGTACTCACAACTTTTATGAATTTCATATAGGTTAGACTGTGGGAAATAGGTATAAAGATAAAATGAGCTCTTAGAGATGAAAACCACTGATATTTTTTACTAATTTCTAGATCTCTTATGTCATTAATGCTCTTTGGGAAAGTTCTGATTTACAAAATATGATCTCATAATGTGTTTTATCTTATTGGCTTTTTGCCACGTTGCCAGAATGTAGTGTATTCATACAGAGGCATCCAAAATGCATGCTTCAGTATCGCGTGCATGCAGAGAAAGAGTACAAAGCTGTTTTTCATTTCTATAAACAGATCCTAGTTATACCTCCAACTGAATTTTTTATTATTGGTTTTGTGGTTCTGATTTTGATTTTGTTTGTTTGTTTAGTTGGTTGGTTCATTGATTTTGTTAGTTGTTTATTGTATGCTTGCAGAAGAAGTCCAAGTTTCAGAAGTTTTGTCACTTTAATGCTTCTGAAAGGTTTACTGGAAACCATGATTGTCTGCTCACAAATGTAGTGCCTACGACACTTTCAGACACCTATTCAGGATAAATCCCTTAGAACATATTACATATTTTTCCACCCTTACTCAGAAAGTAGTACTCTAGAAAAGAAAAGATGGCCTGTTTGCTTCTATAATGATTTTCTAAAATTACTTTCTATTTAAGAAAAGTCAACTTAAGAAATAGCATCTTGAAGTACAAGTTATCAATAGCCTCTATAGAAAGATTTTTGGTTTTCAAACGTTCATGTAGTTCATCTGAACTGTCAATTCCCCTAGCTCTAGTAATTTAAAACCTATTTTTTCCATAGAACTATTCAGTCACATACAAAATGTTATTACCAGAAGGGGAAAAAAACGAAAAATGTGATCCTGATCAGAAATCAAAACTATATCAGTAAAAGGCAGGATCAAATATGAGCTGAACAGGGATTAAGTTGCCAGTTTTATTCAGTTGAGACCATTTTAAAGGATCCGGGTCTTCAGGAAAAACTGTGAAGATCAGCTATTCAACAGTTTCTGTTCTTTGACAATATCTTATCTTATGAACAAGGTTTTTCTCCTTGTCATCTTTTCACTTTGTTTTTCATTTAGCTATATCTTTGCAATTATGGATTAGTTATAGATGGATAGATGGATAGAGATAAAATGTTTGGTGGCTTTTTTTTTTTTTTTTTTTTTTGGCAGACCTTTACATCTTGGCCCTTTTCCCTCCCTTGGCTTATTTGTTTCATTTTTTTAATCTCTATTTCATTTTTTTTATCCCTCTGTTGAGGGAATGCAAATACCATTATACTCACTTATCAGATGGTTTTTCAAACAAATGGAATTAGAATGGCTAGAAATGAGAAAGTTGTTTTTTGCTAATCCTCTACTGCTATGCACTCCTGCTTATTTGCATTTAGATATGAGAAGTTATGAAACAAGATCTTAATTACCAAGAACCAGACTAATCTCTAAAACTGGAGCTGGAATATTCAGTATAACTTCTTAGTAAGAAAAGAGAGCCTTCAAGGAAATAGCAAGCAGCGTTTAACAGCTTTGTACAAAGTATTATTTTTCAGAGAGCATTCAACCCAGTTAGAGTTGGAAAATTTAGAAACTGTATATAAACTCATGCCCTCCATAGATTGAATCGCTGTCTAGGGCAGGAGAGGGTTTAGATAGAGTTCACATCCAGATGGTTTGGCATCCATTGGTGAAGAAGCTGATGCTAATTTGAGCGTCTGATATGTAGCTGATACACACAGTTCACGTGTTTCTAACCTTGTTAAGCACTGTCTTTTTAAAAATCTTCATCTTTTTTTTAGCCTGGATTTTACTCTTCTGGCTACAGCTTTTATAGGACTAGTGTTGTTCTTGTTTTTGTAGCATTTTTCAGTTTCCACCATAATACTTTAACACTTGTAGAACTCTAGAGTTATTTCAGTTTTGTAGGCTTTAGTTAATAATTGTCAATGACCTAGCCAAAGCATGAGAAGTGATACTCATTGGCAGAAGCACAGTATTTTACAAGTGCAAAGATGGTACGCAGAAATATTAAACTGTTGGGAATTTTAGTAACTTGCTTCTGGCATTCCTTCACATGCTTGTATAGGAGATGGATAACTGTGTGAAATAGGTTAAATTCTCTGTTCTACTCAGATAAATTCAGTGCGATTCTCCTGAGTAGAGTCAACTCGATGGTCTGCCTCTCTGTTTACTTGACTACAGCAGTGATGTTGTTACGAATATCAGATTGTGGCTTTTTGTTGTAATCAGACCACGTAAGCAAAGTGTTATCTGTACCTATATGAAGCATAGCTGGTAGAGACTCAATTTGACAACTTGCGTTGTGTCAGTTTCTCTCACTTTCTTTTAGAAAACATGTGGAAATAAATAAATAAATAAGAATAAATAATCATGACAGTTCCTCTCAGTTT